CCTAAGCGCACGACCTGGCCTGCTTCCATCCCCGTCGCCTGCCGCCCTCAGTTGGGTTTGGGCCGCACGGAGAAAAGCTGGGCTTCCAGGGTGAAGGTTGGGGGCCCTGGCCCTGGCGGCGCCGGCCACCGAGCCCACGGCTTGCAGAATGCGGAAAACTGGAACTCGTGCTCGGCTAGTCCGGTTCGCTTGGGGCGGCTTGCGTTGGGAGAAGCCGGGAGACCCAAGCCGGGGAATGGTGATGGGTGGCTCTCCTTTGCCTTGTTTGGTTCTGTGATAAAGGTCAAGCCTAAGGTCGTTTTCTTTCTTGAGTTATTAGAGGGGGTTTTTGTTTGGTTGTTTGGTTTGGGGATTTTCGTTTTGTTTTGTTTTGTTTTGTTTTTAGCCCTAGTTAAAGTGTTTAATTGAAAGCTTTTAAAAGCACACCTCGGGAAACATTCGTTATCATTAGGTAACTAGCAGGTTACTGTTTAAGTTCGCCTAAACGCAGACATTGCCACGGAATGCATAAAGGATTTATTAAAAAATATGCAAAACTAGTGTGTGAAACTGGAGCGAATACAGTGCTAACAGAACTAGACAGTTACTAAAATGAAACGTAGTGCTTTTAGAAAAAGAAACTAGTTGCAACTCATTCCTTCTCAACAACGTACTGTTTTTCTCTTGTATAAGCTGGCGGCGTTGTTGCACCCCACTTTTTCCAGTTAAAACTTAATGAACGGTGGTGCCTACTATTTAGACCTTCCTGTTCCTCCTCCAGGATTCAGCCGGCTTTATGGGAAGAGAGCACACTGGGCCTGTAATCCCCAGTGGGGTTTTGCTTTTCTAATAATAATTTAAAATGATAGTTTAGATAACGGTACTAAATGAAGTGGAAGGTGGTAAAGACGACATTCCCATCAACAGTCTGGTCAGCAGAGTGTGTGTGGCGGGTGGTGGTGAAGTTTCTTCACAATTCTGTGGGTCTGGACGCCTAGAACAGGGGGAATTTGTGGAGCCTACAGTTTTTGAAAATTTAATCTCTAATTGAAGTACTGAGGGCTACATTGTTGTAAAACTGATGATGTTTATGTGGGTAATATTATCTATATTGTTGAATTTTGTGAAGCCTGAGTTTCAGTTCTGCTATGAAGGTTAGAAAAACTTTGTTAAAGGGTCTCTGGTATTGTCTTCACTTTCTTCTTCGAGTCAACGATAAAATTGTTTCTGTAACTTAAAAATGAATTAGGGCTTTATTAAACTCAGCTAGTTGCAAATAACAGGAATGCATCGGTGTCACTACAAGTCATATAATCTCCATTTTTGTGGTACTATTTGCCTGAATTTACTTGGTGTTTGAAAATTAACAAGAGAATTAATAGAGTTCAGTTTCTAGAAAATTACTAGTCAATATATTGAAATTGTGAAGAAATGATTTGTTAAATGGTGTGTTCACTGCTCAGTCACAGATACTTGTTGGTATTTTGGATCTGTTTTAAATGGGACACATAAGTTAGGTGTGTCTTCAATGCCTATTTTTCAGAAGAGTCAAGACACGTGTCTATATTCTTTTCACAGACTCTCCTGGGAAGAGGCTTTGGTTATGCAGAGTTTGTTACGTTGATGAACTCAGAGCCAGCACAGTTAAAGCCATGATAGTGAACTGCCTAGAAGGACTGTAGATTATATGTAGGTGATACACAGATTCAGTAGAGCTCAAACTGTATTCTAGATGTTGTAATTTATTTACATCATTAAAAAAGTATCTGAAGCTGGGGGTGTAGCTCAGTTGGTTGAGTGCTTGACTACTTCACCATCCCCAAATGAGAGATTAGAGGATATGGTAGTGTGTGTGTGTGTGGGGGGGTGTTATACTAGCACTCAAGATTCCAAACCAGGAGGATCAGAAGTTTAAGGTTATCCTAGGCTACCTAGTGAATTCAAGGCCATCTTGAGCTACATGAGATTCTGCCTCAAAAAAAAAAAAAAGTTTGAGCAGTCCCTGTAAGTAGTTACTTCCCTGGAAAAGAGGAAGCAGATGCCTACCAGACAGTTGGCAAAGATACAACAAAGAAATGTGGCTGCCTGTGGTCTCTTAAGAAGAGGCTCATGTCTTTTCTTTTTCTCCCTGTTGTATTGTGAATCTTTAGATGTATGTTTGCCCGCCGTTAATAACTCTGTGTCTAGAAGTGGTTTGTTAAATACTTACTCTAGGTCATCACTTACCCTAGGTCGGTGTTTTTCAACCTTTGACTGTTTCACAGGGGTCACTTAAGACCATCAGAAAACACGGTTACTTACATTATGATTCATAACAGTAGCAAAATTAGTTATGAAGTAGCAACGAAAATAATTTTAGGGTAGGGGCAACCACAACATATGGAACTGTCAAAGCAATTAGGAAGGTTGAGAACCACACTGCTCCTGGTGGTGGGAAAGGCAGACAAATCTCCATGCCTTTATGAAACATTTATTGTAGTCTAGGGCAGCAGAAAAGAAACTCAACCTGTCTCTACAAATAAATTAGCAGCTGATAATATAAGAGACTTTTGCAACACTAAGTTCTAGGTGTTTCATCGGGTTTGGTTGGTTAATCTGCCTCATGTTGCGTTACTCCTCCAAACAAGTACACATTAGGAGCTTTTAAACAAGGGTCTCTGTTTCTAGTGCCAGTGTTCTGATCATCTACATGCTTGTGTGTGTGTGTGTGTGTGTGTGTGTGTGTGTGTGTGTGTGTGTGTGTGCATGCGCGCACACACACCCTTTATAAAGATGATGGTGGGTGAAAGAAAACCTTTCTGACACTGAAGCTGTAGAATTTCCCTGTTGACATCCTTGTGTTGCCCTACTTACTGGTTGTTGGGAAGGGAATCAAGTTATGAATGAGTGCTGACAAAGCTGCTCACTGCTTAGATCTGGTGTTGAAGATCTGTTCCTGGTTTTGCTCTTTTTTTCAAGGGATTTCAAACATGTAGGCAAGTACAGAAGGAAAGTGACTCGCCTAGGAGTGCCTGTCCCTCATCAGGATGCTGCCTGTTAGTTCTGGTGCATGCTGTCTGCATTCTCTCTGGTCAATTGTACAGAGTGAAGTTTACTGGAGGGACACTGAAGGAGGAAATGCTTGTTCTCAGTGACAGTGTGCTCTCTGGACAAGCCAATTGTAGTGCAGACACCTTTATCCTTAGTACCTGGCTCTTACGTGGCGTAGCGATTAGTTTTATCTTCTTACCAGTCTGTTGTTTAATCAGTCTAGATATTTTCTTTGTAAAACTTCCCAACCTCAAATTACTGTGTGATTTCTGTCTCTTAGATTTTGTATATCTAATTGTTGCTTGCCCCCTTCCCCAGAAATTTCTTAGTAGCAAGTCTATGCTCCCAAGGCTTCCTCACTGTTCTGTGAATAGCAAGCTTATTTTCAGCTTTTAAAAATAAAATTTATGATGCTTTTAAGTCCCCCAAGTTGAATTTTAATATAAAATAGCTTGATAAACAGTGATTTGCTAACCCTTGTTGTCTTCCAGGCTGATTTCTTTGTTCACTGAGAGATATTTCATTACCGGCATGCTTTACTTCAGTCTCTGTGTTGGCTGACGAAACAGGAATGGATGTGGCAAATGGAGCTTCTGCTTGAGAAGATGTGTCCCAGCTCTTGCTGTTGGGACACAACTTGTCATTTACAGAGTGGTAGTCAGAGGGATAAAGATTTAGACAATATGTAGCTGCCTGGGTGTGTCAAAGAAAGGACCCATGGACAACAAGAAGTGTTTTTATGACAAAACAGTATTGATTGGTGAGGTAAAGAAACCCAGAGCAAACTCAGAACCCCAGCAGAGAGTAATAGTGTGGTGGTGTTTGGACTTTCCTGAGTGCAGGAATATTGTGAGAAAATCATTCTAAATGAAAACTCAGACAAAGCAGCAATTGCAGTGACTCACAAGTGTCAAAGAGTTGGAATGACCAAAGTCAGATTGACACTTGTCCTCAGTGACATTACTTGTAGTGTGCTGTATTGCAGGTTCTGTGCCTCCACAGTGTCTTATGGTGTCTTAAAGCACACTGTAAGACAGGGTTACAGCACTTGCTGGCTACAGATTTACGTTCTCTATAGAACGCTGTGTCAAGTAATGAGGTGGGCCGAATGGTGAAACAGTGTAAGGGTGTGAGGGAGTTGATTTAGTATAGAATGTGTATGGATGACCTAATCCTGTGTGATATCAGGGATAAGCTAGTTTGTGACTGTTAGCCTTTGGGCTCTTACACAACTCTGTCTTAATGTTACAGTTCTCATCATGACTCATACAGTGTATCTTTGATTTAGGAAGCTACCAAAATGGTCATTGATACTTTATTGTAAGCACATTCCTCTCTAAAGTTGGAAGAGAATTCAGCTTGGGGATGTGAGGCTGCATGAGGGGGTGATCCACTGGATTACAGACTCCTCCCTGGGTTGCACTTCTGCCTTAGTATGTCAGTTTGGTTTGGTTTTGGTTTTGGTTTTTTATAGCCTGTAGCTCTTTGGGGAGTTCTTTATGTCTTACACATGTGTGACTTGAGTTTCTTCTCTTTTGAAATGTCACAACAGCTGTCCATGTTACATTCCCTTTGTTGATGTTTTAGAAATCTCAGTTGGGGTTTATATTTATGTGTTTGGTGGTGGAGTAGGACTTGTGTGACTTTGTAAAATTCGGCAGAGGAGCATTGTCTCCAAAGTAGAGAATGGTGCTAGCCAAATTAAATAGAGAGTCAATGAGATAATCTGGAGAAGAAGTATGTTGAGCAGCTGTCTAGATTTTAGTAGCCAGCCAAGAAAGGAATTAGGAGATTTGGATTAAGACATTCCTCCTTTGTTACACTCATCCCGTTTCACCTTGTTCCCAATGATGTAACTCTGTTCTTGCTTTATCTGCAGGGGACCTAGAGGGACATCTGGTCTCCAAGGTCTCTGACTTTGGGTATTTACATCACCTTCTTACCTTTCCTGCTCTGCCTTCACCCAGTCCTGACTTTTGCTTGTTAAGACATCCATCATTCCCTATCTTGTAGACTACAAAATGATGGTTCTCGTTGCCAGCTAAATACAATGTCTGGCTGATTGTTTTTTCCATCTTGGATAGTCTTATCTGTTAAAAGCTTCCCACCATGCCTCCTGATCTGGGTTCTCACATGCATCATCTACCATATGCTCCCAACCCCCTGGTTTCTTTATTTCTAGGTTTAGTTTAGTTTGTATCCTGAGAAAATAAAATTCTTGTGGTATGAGCCTCTTTTGCCCTCTGCCTTGCCTTAGCATGTTACTGCATGGTGGTTCTGTTCAGCATGCTTGCCTCACTTGTTCTGTTGAGTATGTGGCCATGTGTTATTCCCTTACCTCCCCCCCCCAAAAAAAAAAAGCTTTCTTAGGTATTTTTGGATGTAGATGATCCTTTCTAGGAGCTAAGAAAAACCACGGTTTTAGAATCAGGACTTAAGTCCTTGAGGGCATAACTAAAGATCACAAAGCAAAACAGAAACAAGAACCATAACTCCTGTGCAAACCGGATGAGGGGTTCTCACATGAAAGCTACTGTTTTAGGAAGCCAGATAGTTTTCCTGTCAGTGCCTCCTCCTATTCAATGTTATCTTTTAAAGCTCAATTTAGAATTTCATTGGAGACAAGTTTTTTTTGTTTTGTTTTGTTTTTTAATGATTCTTTATTACACAAGGGTCATACCCCATTTGACAGCAAGCTGGCACTCATTTCAGCTACCTTTTCCCTGATGACCAAGGTGATACCAAGGAGACTCTCTTTAAAACTCAGATTCATCTTTGGAGGTTAAAGGATTCATCACTATTGAGAATACATAACTCAATAGCTCAGACTCTGGAAGAAAGGATGGCAGAAAAGCAGCAGTCTTTGAAAAGAGGGATGGCACTGCTGAAGTGCATGCATGCTCATAATCGACTTAGGTGATTAAGGGCTATTCAAAACAGATAGTGTGTTAATCATCCGTGGGCACATTGCTTGCATACACATGTGCGGTTAAGTCATTCTTTATAGTTATGTACCATAGATTCCTGTCAAGTTCTTTTGAAACATTTGTCTTTATTCTTGATGGTGTTCTTCTGGGTTACTCATTTTTGTGTGTTGCTTTCTCTGAGTTTGTCTATTCTGGGATGGGATTTTGTATTTCTTTTGGACTGGTCCTATTTATCTTGGAATGTTGTAAGGACATTATTTCTTTCATTGATGACTGCAAATGTTTTTTGTTTGTTTGTTTGTTTTTCAGAGTACTGGAAATCCGTGTAAATTTTGTCCTGTAGCTAATTCTGGGGGTAGTACAAAATGTATTCCTTGACATTAAGACTAAGCCGATATTACAGAAAGGTTCTAATTAGTTTGTTTTAAAACTGAGTCTCACTCTGCAACCTTTGGCCTAGGGGATGCTATGTAAACTCTGCTAGGCTGGAACTCACCTGCCTCTGCCTCTGGAGTGCTGTGATTAGAGAGGTGTATCACCACCTCCAGTTCAAGAAAGCTCTAATTTAAAATCAGTATTCAACTGGGAAATTTCCTTTTTGTTTGAATATCTTTATAGGTGCTTGTATTAACAGAACTGAAGAATGAATACATCATCAAATGTGGAATGCTTACACTTACAAGGGGAAAAGTAAAATTAGAAAGGCAGTCTGTACTAGAGCCTTAGCTGGAAGAAAGGCATCCTAGGTGCTGAACTGAATGTCCTGGTTCTGTTACAGACATGGCCCCAATGGAAAGCAGAGTCCATGGCCATGGTACCTGTAACTCTTATTTGGTTGGAATCCCATGCTTCTCAAGAGTTTTCTGAGGGTTTTTTTTTTTTTTCTTTTTTTTTTTTCTGTGTTACTCTTGTGGTACTTGGCACCATTTGAGTTTTCTGAGTTTAATTCAGCCATAAAATATGCTTTTCCTCAGAGGAAATTGCTTATTGTTGCTTTATTATAAAAACACTAAAAATAAAATAAAATATGTGTTTTTAAAAATCTAAAATGCGTAAGTCTCGGAGACAATTGGTAGGTTGGCTGTGAGTGGCTCCTGAGTCTTGGGTCAGGGTGAGGGAGCCTGAACTTGTCAGCCAGTTGGGTTTGTTTTAGTTTTTGAGATGGCATCTGATCATATTGCCTGGTCCAGCCTAGAACTTGTGATCTTCCTGTTAGCCTCTCAAGTAGCTCAGACCACAGCCATGTGCCACTATTCCTAGATTGTCAAGTTTGTTTGAAACATTTGTCTTTATTGTTCTTGCTGGTGTTTTTCTGGGTAACTCATTTTTGTGTGTTGCTTTCTCTGAGTTTGTCTACTCTGGGATGGTAGCAGGATTGAGTTTGTGGACTCAGGAGATATAAATTCAGAGTACTGTCAGTTGGTGTAGCCTGGTGACTTTCCATAGCATGCTTTGTGTGTGTGTGTGTGTGTGTGTGTGTGTGTGTATCCTTCACCTTCAAAAAGTGTCAATCACTTTTGTATGTGAGCCTGTGACTTCACCCTAGTCATCTCTTAGTATGAAATGAAATGTAATAGGCCCTAGGGTCTTCAGAAGGATGCCGAAAAACTATATGAGACGAGCATCATCATGTCACTTGAGGACCCTAGTGGTACTTAGCTGCCTGTGGTTGACTTGTTAAACTGGATTGAGTTAAATTTTTCTATTACTTGATTTTGTAACTTTTATATAACATGAGCACCTGTGCCAGGTGGTGGTGGTACACACCTTTAATCCCAGCACTCGGGGAGCAGAGGCAGACCAATTTCTGTGAGTTCAAGACCAGCCTGGTCTACAAGAGCTAGTTCCAGGACAGCCTCCAAAGCCACAGAGAAACCCTGCCTCGAAAGAACCCCCCAAAAACAAAAACATGAGCACCTGTATATTAGGGTTCCCCCTCTGGGGTAAATGTTAATGTTATGAAATGTCTGAGTAGTAAAGATTTCCTTATGAATATTAATTTATTGCTTATTAAATACCTGTCTTGTGCCAGGAAGAATTACAGTAACCAGGAATGTAAATAGTGTGTTCTGTATATTTGAAGGATACCTGATTTGTGCACATACAAATTATCATGATAAATGTTTTGTTATAACCCTAGTAGAAAAGAATAGAAACCCAGACCATACAAAATTAAGAGTTCCCTAGATAAAGAATTAAAGAGAAGAGAAAAGAAAAACAAGACACAGGGAGAAAATTTAGGAGCTCTGATGCCCCAGAAGGCAGGAGTGAGTCCCTGCCACTGTGGCTGGCAGCCTTAGAGTTGTTTGCCATAAAGTTCTGTGGGTAAGTGTACTTATTGTCATTTAGTTACCCACGAAAAGGGCTCTACTTTTCCTCTTTCTTTTTCACACTCCACATGGACTTACCCAAGGGATGCCTGAACTTATACAGATCGAGCTTCAGTGACAGTGACTTATGGCATTTGTAATTGTTATCATTACATTTGGGGATACTTTGCTGAGCATAGACTTCCATGGGCCTAGAAAGAATAGTGCTTCTGACTGTTGGAGAGGTTGGAAGGGAGAGAGGATTTTGTAGAGTGAGGAGAATCAGAGAAAGTAAGCCTAACCACGCTTCTTGCTTGCTGGAATATCCTTTGGATTCTAAGAAAGTTTGAAAGTGCTGTGTGCTGACTTATATCACAGAAACAAAGAAGCGTAAAGTAGGGGAGTCTGTGTGAGTCTGTCTTAAGTCACTATTGGTTTGTTTATTTCAGAGCACAAAGTTATCATTGTTGGGCTGGATAATGCAGGGAAAACAACCATCCTTTACCAGTTGTGAGTATTAACTGCTTAAAAGCTTACTTTTGTGCTGGGCATTGGTGGCGCATGCCTTTAATCCCAGCACTCGGGAGGCAGAGGCAGGCGGATCTCTGTGAGTTGAGGCCAGCCTGGTCTCCAGAGTGAGTGCCAGGATAGGCTCCAAAGCTGCACAGAGAGACCCTGTCTCGAAAAACCAAAAAAAAAAAAAAAATTACTTTTGTTGTTTCTAATTACTCTTTCTGCTTTGTGATATTTGATCAATGAAATCAATGAAAAGTTACATGGCTCCAAGCAGACTAACCAGAAGCCAGGAGCAAGATTTAAACAACTTTTTGTGGTGAGCTGAAGATTTACATGACATCTAGCTTGCTCATTGTTTTGCATTGAGCCTCTTGCTTTCAGAAAACAGGAAAATATTTATTTATACAGTTTTCCAAAATGATCTGTAGTATTCTTATGCCATTATTTATTTTGAGCTCTGTTTATGTCCTTAGCTGACTCATTGTATGAGCTCATAGAAAAAGGACACTTGGGTATGAAATAGAGAGAGGAGTCATGCTGATTTGTCCCTTAATGTAATCCTGAAATGAGCAAGCTTCCTCACTGACTTTGTGAACTTTTCCCCTCCTAGTTCCATGAATGAAGTTGTACACACATCCCCTACAATAGGAAGCAATGTAGAAGAGATCGTGGTTAATAATACGCGTTTCCTGATGTGGGATATTGGTGGTCAAGAGTCCCTTCGTTCTTCCTGGAACACTTACTATACTAACACTGAGGTAATGTTCTTAATGCCGACGCTTACATGAGCACTCTGGGTCCTTGAGAAGCATTTGCATCTGAATCATTGCAATCCTTTAAAAATGAGACAGCATTCTGATTTAGTGTAAACAGAGTCTACTGTGCTGGACCTGTCAACTTCCATTCCTCAGTCCATCGGTCAGGCTGTATGATCCAGTAGCTGCTTTTATAATGACTTTCATCTCATGATTTCAGATTGCATTTCTTTCTCACTATTTATATGTGGCTAAGTGGGAGAAATTCTAGCCAAGTGAAAGGGCTCTTCTGTGGTTTGAGCCCTAGCCAGGTTTTGCTGTGTATTTTCTTTTATGCAGTGCAGTTGCACTTGAAATCTTTCGATTATAAAGCATTGTAGACATAATCATATGGTTTATTTATGTTATGTTCCAAGAGAAAATTTCAAAACTTTCATTCATCATTCATCAACTGACAGGTTGCACCAGTGTTTTTTGTGGTGTAGATTATAAGGCCTTAGAAATATTCTACACATATGTAAAGGTGATATTTAAGTCACTAATGATGCTACCAAGTGTCTCTCTCATGGCCTGGCTCCAGCACTCCATTAGCATTTCACCATATGTTTGGCGGAAATGTATGTATGGCTTATAAAGGTATATGTAGTGCCCACATATATATTGCTCCAGGTATTAAATTGTGTAAATCTTGAGAAAGGTGTATTAGAATACCATATGATAGAATGAGCATCACAATAATAAAGTCTCCTGCCAGAAAGCTATCAAATGAAATCTTACAGTTGGTGAAAACTGAAGAATAAAAAGGCTGAGAACCAAATGGTTTATTTGGAAATAACTACCAAGTTCTAAAAAATAAAAAATGTGTTTTAGTAACAGACAACATGAGCATTGTAAGTACAGTAAGGGTACCTTTGCTCTGCTTCCCTGTTGCCTTGTGGTGCTCTTGGAGCTGGGAGTACAGTGGGGTCCACTTCGTAAGAGCCGTAGTCTCATCTGTCTGTTCCGTACAGCAATGTCCTGGACCAGGGAGCTCTTGTTTTTAGATGCCAATTGATACTTTCAATTTGTTCATTTCAAATACTTTTCTAGAAGCAAGTTAAATTTAGGACCTTAAGTGTTTGAAGGGTTTTATTTGTGTTTTTTAAAAATGGTATCATAGTGTAAATACAGGGCTATAGGCCCTTTTATTAGTTATGTAGTATTTGGAAAGGAAAAAAGTGTTCTATTTTCATTAGTATTATATTCTTTTCTTTTGCTTTCCTTAAAAATGAGTAAATTTATTTGAGTTAAAAATGAGTCAGATCCTCGGGCTTTAATAAAGTGAGAAAGATAAACATTCCTGGTTCTCCAACATTACAGGAAATTTTAATGTCTTGATATTAGTATCGTGTATAAGTACAAAATAAGTACCTTGGATTTTTAAATACCAAATACTCAAAGTCACTAATGATTTTTTTGTGATTATTTTAGTTTGTCATAGTTGTTGTGGACAGCACAGACAGAGAAAGGATTTCTGTAACTAGAGAAGAGCTCTACAAAATGCTAGCCCACGAGGTAAGTCTGCTTGTGGTAGTAAGTGGGGATGGGCATTGTATCACATTTGATTGCTCTTTGTAGTTTCTCATAAGGAGAAATATTTATCTGTTGGTCATGTCTGCTTGTCATTCCTGTTTTGTGATTATGATACTTCCCAAATTTGAAATGTATCTGGAAGCAGGAGAAATATTGTGCAGACAATCCTAGATTGATATTTAGCTTTGATAAATCTGATTTAGAGGTTTTACTGAGCCAGAAGAAGAAGAAGAAGAAGAAGAAGAAGAAGAAGAAGAAGAAGAAGAAGAAGAAGAAGAAGAAGAAGAAGAAGAAGAAGAAGAAGAAGAAGAAGAGAAAAAATTCTACAAGTAGCTTTCCTTTTACATTTTGGACATATTATTCATACAGTGAATTATCATTTGGCAGTTTGACAAGTGCATCACAGATACCTGGATATATAACAGTTCTTGAGTATTCTCTGTTATCAAAATAATATTTAAACTTAGTTGCTTAGGTTTTTTTTTTTTTAAATCTTGTTCCTTTCACCAAATGAAATTATATGACTACCTTATAATTATGCTAAGTCCTTCAAAATACTACTAGTAATGTAGTCAAAATTTAAGTAATTTAGGGCTGTAGATATAGCTCACTAGTAGAGTGCTGACATGCATGAGGTCTAGGCCTTCACTAGCCTAAATTCACAGAGATTTCATTTGCCTCTGCCTCTGGATTAAAGGTGTGGACCACCACACACAGCCAGAGGCTTTGAGTCTCTGAAGTACACTCCCTATTGCAAGCACAGAAATTTCCTTTCATAACCTATTGAGGCTGACAGCAATAGTAATCTATGAATGTGAGAAATGTTTAAAGGGCAGTTTGAGGTGCAGCACATTCACTTAAGGAAACAGTTGCCATGGCCTCCCTTCTTGGGCTTGTGACCTTCCTTGCCATGGGCTATTGTCTGACTTAGAGCATTAGTGAGTTTTCTCCTGTAACCTTAAATACAGTTATAGGTTATACTCATAACAGTTGTGCCACTATTATACCAGTAGGCCCTTATTTTCCTTGGGATCCATCCATAGCCAACCAAGATTGCTGATGACAGTTCTTCCCCTAGCAGCCCACAAGGTACCTTCCAGTAGTATGCAAGTCATCTGGATTGGAGCACATTAACAACTTCTTTTGCCTCCATATCCTGTAACCAAAGACTCTTACCTAGTTTTGGCCTGCAGCCTAGAGCAGTGGCATACCTTTATAGTTTATGAGGCCTCAGGGCCTCCCTGGCTGACAACTCATTAAGAGGTAGTCCACCTCTGGTGTTGAGGTTTTTGCCTAACAATCTAAGGGCCCCTAAAATATTGTCTTAATTTTGTTTGTTTTGTTTTGTTTTTGTTTTTTGGTTGGTTTTGGGGGTTTTGTTTGTTCGGGTTTTTTTTCCCCAGGCATTTTGGTCTTGTTTTTTCTGTTCATGTAATAAAGCTGCTCTTATAAAAGCAGCTTACAGGAGAATAGGTTTGTTTTCGATGAACAGTTTCAGAAGGATAGTCAGTAATGGTGAGGAAGTCATAGCAGCAGGCAGGAGCAGGAGGCTGGCTGGTCACATGGCACCCATGTTCAAGAAATAGAGTGGACTGTGTTATATAACTTCAAGGCCTACCCCTGGTAACTTAGTTCCTCCAGAAAGTCTCTGTTCCCAAAAGTTCTGTCAGCTTCCCAAACAACATCACTAGTTGGGAACTAAGGGGCGGGGGGCATTTCACATTCAAACCACACACACTCAGAGTACCTTTTTAAAAGTTGCAGTCTTTATTGTTCTGAGTGCTTTTACACATCTGTGCAAGTGCTTGCATCATGTAATGAAATCTTTTTACAAAGCATAATCAGGATCTCTGAAAAAACACCATAGTAAGTGCTAGTTGATCTTGGATTCCTGAAGAGGTACTAAAAAGGAAACATTAGCACAATGCAGTACAGCATAAAAAGATCTCATCACATGTTTCAATTTCGTTGTCAAAAGCAATGTTTAGAACAGCATAGGTAGGAGACGTTGCCCTTTAGTCCTCCATAATCTGGAAACAGTTACCATTAACCATCCTACTTCCTTGTCTGTGTTATTGCTGCCACTCTAGTCTACTCCATGTTTTTTTTAACACAGTCAGTCTTAACAGGACTGGCTTCCACTTCTCAGCTTGGTTCAGGACCAAGTGGAGAGCAGAATGCTTTTGTCAGGGTATTTTTATTACAATGTCTGACACTGGAGTCAGCGCCTTGGTTCTAACATGCTCTAGGCCATCATTGTGCCATAGCTTTTATATCACCCAAACCTGCCTGCTGAAAAGACTATGCTGGGCAGTCTCCACTGGTGTGCCTTTACATGTATATACTACAATTGCCCACCCCAAGGTACACTTGTCACTTGGCTTTCTTATCACTTTAAATCTTCTGTAAACTGCTGCTCTAGCTTTTTAAGCCTTGTAGAAATATAATAGCACAGCATTTGGCTTTCTGTTGTTTTTCTGGGAATTCCAGTTTAACAGAAGTTTTAATCACATGTGTCTTGGAATAGCTTGGGCAGACCACCTTGACCTTCTCTCATTCCCTCTTAATTGCTTTACCATTTTACAAACCTGGTCTACATGCTGGTCTTCATTTAGATTCACTGAAGCCTGACTAAGATCATGTCCCACCAAAGGGCTTAGCAGTGGTAGAGCACCAAATATTGTACCAAAGCTCAACTGATGAATTTATTGACTTACAGGAGTATGGGAAAGGGATTATTTAAAGGAACATGGCTGACACAAAGGCAGTATTACCTAAAAGCCTACAGTATGCTGGTTGAATTGCTTATAAAAGCAGCATCCCTGGAGCTCCTTGCAAATTGCAACAGGGTGCCTGCATGTCTTGTAAGTTTCAGGAGCTTTCTGAGATGTGTGAATTGTTTACTTCCTGATTCTTAAGCGTCTCCTTCCAGGATACAATGTTTCAGTTGGGAGGAAATTGTTATACAACAGATATATAGAGTGTATTTTTTTTTTTTATTTCTGTGGAATTTGGTAAAGCTTAAAAAAAATTGGGATACTTATAATGAAGCTGTATGTTGCTATTTCAATGATTTCTTTTGAGTTTTGCTTTACAGATTTTATTATGCTTCAGGTAGACTTTCAGGAATTTAGGAAACCTGATAAAAAGTGGGTTTTGTAAATTAAGAATACGTATTTTGCTATTGGTGATTGTGGTGGTTTGAATGAAAATGACCCCATAGGCTCATAGGGAATGGCACTATTAGGAGGTGTGGCCTTTTGGAGTACATGTGACCTTGTTGGAGGAAGTGTATCACTGGGGTGGGTTTTGAGGTTTCAAATACTCAAATCAGGCCCAGTGTCACTCTCTATTCCTGCTGCCTGAGGATTTATATGCAGAACTCAAAACTACTTCTCCAGTACCATGTCTGTCTGAGTGCTATCATGATGACAGTGGATTAAACCTCTGAACTGTAAGTTAGCCTCAATTAAAGGTTTTCCTTTATAAGAGTTGCTGTGGTCATGGTGTCTCCTCACAGCAATAAATACCCTAACAGAGACAGTGATCATGGCTTCCAATGTATATCTTTCCTATTTGGGGCTCAAATTCTGGTATTTGTGTCAAACCTTTTGGGGTTTAAAAAAATACATCTTGGGGGGCTGGAGAGATGGCTCTGCAGCTAAGAGCACTGACTACTCTTCCAGAGGATCCGGTTTCAATTCCCAGCACCCACATGGCAGCTCACAACTATCTGTAACTCCAATATCTTACACCCTCACACAGACATACATGCAGGCAAAACACCAATGCAAATAAAATAAAAATAAATAAATTATTAAAATAAATAATATGTCTTGTCATCATTGTTCATTCATTTTTGCAAGTTCTGATTCTAGCTTTGAAGACAAGAAGTAAGCCATTAAAGAGGCTTACTTCTTTCTAATTGTATTTGTATAAAAAGAGACAAAACATTCTTCAGTTTATTTCAGAGTGGAGTTTAGAAGGAGAAAACACACATATAACCTGTCTCTTGAATGTGTATGTTTACCTTTAGCAGGAAACCTTTGTTTGATGGCTCATTGATTGACTAATATTTAGCAGGCTCAGTGTTTGAAACCGTGCTAAAGCCTTTGAACCTTCCTGCCTCGGGACACTAACCTGGCCACTTCCCTCTTCCTTGTCTGTTATGCTGTATGAGACCCAGAAAGTTCATGTGACTAACCAGTTTTTTAAAGAGCCAGGATCGGAATATAACAACTATTCTTGAATGGCCTTTATTTATAGGTATAAATATTCTTATTTAGACTCATTGCTAGGAGAAAAACAGAGCACAAGGCTGACTAGAAACTGAAAGGAGACTGAGTAGAGAGACAGGGAGGAGCCTTAAAATGGTGTTGGGAACCACAGGAGACTGCTTGGTGGGCCGGAGCAGAGTCCGCAGGTAGAGCTCTGGCCAGTGACAAGTGGGTGAAAGAAGGAAGGCACATGAATGGAGTTAGTTGCATGTTTCATAGCTGCTATACACAACCTTTTTGTTGTTGCTTTTCACAACAGGGTTTCTCTGTGTAGTCCTGGCTGTTCTGGAACTCATTCTGTAAATTAGGCTGGCCTTGAACTCAGAGATCAACCTACCTCTGCCTTGGAGATCCACCTGCCTGCACCTCCCAAGTTCTGGAATTAAAGGCATGTGAAAATGCCTCTTCAGTGCATTCTAAAACATGAAGCTACAAAAAGTTTTTAAACCTTTCTCAAGGCTTCATCTTAGAAGACATATAAAACTTTGAATATAACTAATTTTAAAATAGTTTCAGAAACCAAAACCTAAAATCTTTAGAATGACTCATTCTAGAAATTGTCTTCACAAATGAAGCTTTGTGAAACAAAGTGACAGTATTGGTATATGACACAGAAGTAGATGTTTGCATTTGCTGCTGTTTGCTTGACTAAATAGACATGTTAGATACTTTTCTTTTTCTATATGGACCACTGGACCCAGGCCTGGCAAGTACTCTGCATGTCCCCGGTCTTTAAAAACTGTTTGTTTTTTCCAGAGTCTTATTAAGCTACTTAGCCTGGCCTTGAACATCAGTCAGCATGCCTCAACCCCCAAAATAGTTGTGAAATCATGGACCTACATCATCAGGCCTGGATCTTTCACATTCTTAAGATCACATGTGTAGTTTGTACAGTAGGGAACATTTAAATTCAATTGTGAATAAAAGGTTACCATTGTTTACCCTAAATCTGATGGCTTACAAATAAAATTTAGTAAATATGCTTTCTGATACTGTCATAATATTATGTTTTGTCTTGAGGTTATATAATAAAAAGCAAAGATTCTCTCTCCTTCCTTCTTAATATTTAAAAGGGTAAAATACCTGTTTATGGCTGTTGTTGTGATCATTTTAAATAATCAAGAACACCATTGATGCCAATCTGAGATACACGAAGGTCTCCTAAAGTGTGGGTTTTGAGATCTAGAAAAGAAGCTACAGTTTTAGTTTAGAGACCCTTTCTATTTCTCTATTTTTATTGTTGTGTTTCTGTGGGATGCATGCCTGTATGTGGGTGTTCACATGCTGTACAGGTCTCATGTTAATGTTGGGTGTCTTAGATTCATCTCCATCTTTATAGAGGCAATCACTAGCTGAACTTGGAGCTCTGTGTTTGGGCATGGCTGGCCATGCAGTTTTGGGGGGGGGGGTCCCCTCCGCTTCACCCCACCTCCACACACACTTTTGGAGTTTTGGAGTTCTAAGCTCTGCTACTCATGCTTGTTAGCACCTTAGTAGGTACTTTACCTGCAGAGATATCTCTCTAGTACAAGACCTTTAATGACTTAATTTTTTAGTTCTAGTTTAGGGGCTTCTCTAAATTACTAAAAAAAAAAAATGGGTTTAAATTACTATAAAATAGTACAGAATATGCTTCCTAACTTGAGCCAATACTTATATCAGAATTTTGTATTTTGAGCATGCCATCATTTTATATAGGCCAGGTTTGCCATCACAGCAAACCTGGCCTATATAAAAGAGTTCAGCATACACTAGCCAAGAGATAGCAAAACCTCTAGATGATAGGCTAGAAATTAAATTAAATCATCCTACAGAAAGTCAATCTGCTTATTAACTAAGCCACTACCACCTATCAGTAATAGTCCATTTTCATTTAAGATAAGATTTAAAAAACTTATATCTTTAATAGTTACTATGTATGTTTAATTTTCATTTTGTTTTTAGATCTTTGGGCCAAACTATGTCTAAAATTAATTAAATATGCAGTCTTAAAACTGTTAACCAGCTACCTGTGTTCTTGTATATTCTAACATAAACCGGCAACTCCAACCTGCAGAGGGCACTGTAACTAAGTCATTCTTGATTGTGCATAGAACACTCAGCAAAACCACACACACACACACACACACTGTTTCCAAACTGAGAATTTATCCCTACATGATAAATTGATTGATTGATGACTGAGCAGCTGCATACACTGTTGCAAACTTGTAGTGCAGTCATTTTCTGAGGAGTTAATTCTCTTGTGGAATCATGGTTGTGAAGGACTTACTTAAGGGATTGGAAGAAAAGGGATGATATGTACAGATAAACAGTTAGAACAATGTTGAGAGATAAGGCTATTCTAAATTGTCCAGAGAGTTGATAGCTTGCTTATTGGAGTGTTTATTATGTAAGTGGTGGTGCCCACTTGAAATTCTAGCACTCTAGAGTCCAAGAAACGAACATGAGTTAAAAATCAGCCTAAACTGCATAGCAAAACCACAAAAACAAAAACAACTTACATGTATTAGAGTATATAATGAATGTTATTAATAAAGCAGAAAATGTAATGTGGAAAGGTAAAGGAGGCAGAGTTTTGGTACAGCAGCAAAGGATGGCTATTACTAGCCATTAAAGTTTGTTTTTCTTGTTTGTTTTGTTGTTATTTAATTGATGTAATAGATATTTCTTGTGCTTGAAAATACGATGTTAACAGATCTGAGAAACAAATGTATTCTTAATTGCAAATAGGAAATTTAACTTGCAAGGACTTATCACAGGACACAAAGGAACTTATTCTTACATGTCTTAAATGAAAACAGAATCCTTAACTTGTAAGGTAAATTGTAACTTGAATTACTAAAAGACCCAGAGACCGAAAAAAAAAAAAAAAAACAGAAAATACGATGTCAAGTATAAGCCATATTTTAGGGCCGGCCATAAAGTATATCATGTAACACCAAACATTTGATGCTGGGAATCTTGCAGATATTCAGTTGGTAAAATCTTTGCTGCTCAAGCATGTGAATCTGAGTTTGATCCTTAGCACAGCGCATACCTACAGCTCCAATGCTGGGCGGGCAGACACAGAATCACTGTGCTCACTCACCAGCCAGTCCAAGCAAATCAGTGAGAAGTCCTTTTTCCAAAAATGAGGCATTCAACACTTACATCTTGCCTCCATATATATATCTGCACAGTGCATAAACCACACGTACAAGTACACAAACACACAGAAACACAACTGAGAAGTTTGTAAGTCCATACGAGGATTTGTTTATTTCTTTCAGTCTATGAGATGTGAGATTATATTGTGTATAATGACTGCTGGGGGTGCCTGTGAGAATAAAAAGAAATTTAATTTAAAAAATGATAGTCCAGATTACTAAAATTATGAAAAATAATCAGCTAAGCTGAAAACATACTTGCCTCTAAATTTTATTTGCTTTTACAGGATCTAAGAAAAGCTGGATTGTTGATTTTTGCTAATAAACAAGATGTAAAAGAATGCATGACAGTAGCAGAGATCTCCCAGTTTTTGAAGCTAACTTCTATAAAAGACCACCAGTGGCATATCCAAGCATGCTGTGCTCTTACTGGCGAGGGGTAAGATGTCTTCTCATAGGTATCATATGTTTGGCTCAGAAACATGTATGTCTTCATCAAATCTATAAATATGTAAGGGAGTCAGTGTCTGTAACCAGAGACTTTGGATGATTGTGTAATAAGATATGCAACACAGATGCATATACATGAATTAACATGTAGGCATGTAGATTCTACAGTTGCTATAGCAGCATAGAGAAGTAAGAGTATCACTGAGTGTTGGAGAAGCCAGAGAATATTTTACTTTTTAAAAAATGTTATGTGAATAGGTGTGTTCCCTGTGTCTGTACCACATGCATACTGTGCCCAGGGAGGCCAGAAGTCAGTGTTGGATCTCCTAGGATTGGAGTTAGAGACAGTTATGAGCCATAATTTAGGTGCTGGAAATGGAACCTGGGTCCTCTGCAATAGCAGCCAGTGCTATTTACTGGTGAGTCATCTCTCCAGCCACCAGAAAATACTTTGGATAATGAACCTGGGACTGAGGAGCTACACAGCTTGAGAGCATGTCCTCCCTGGAGTGCTTCCCATGCAATGTCTTTCTTAGTCCTCTATAGATGAATCCACATTTTATGCACAACAAAGAAGGAATAAAAGAGGATTTATATGTAAAGCTAGCAGATACCCACCATAGCCAGCAGTGTTGTCAAAAGGAAATTGTGCTGTCAAAAACTGGTGGAAACTGAGAGTGTAGCTTGTTAGCAGATTGCTAATCTATATACCTCAGACCGTAGCCTGAACCCCGTCGCACCCTGTGGGGATTGGAAGTAAAAATGGAGCATGTATGACATGAGAGTCTTAGTTTCTGGAATCAGGGGTATTGGAAGACATGTGATTTGCCTAGGCTTGTGTCCAGAGCTGACAGTATTAAGAAGGAAGTAGTGATGAGCTGTGTAAATGTGTGGTCAAGGACCAGGAAGATGAAAAAAGTACTGCTGAATTTAACAGTGGATGAGTGAACTCAGTCAGTGCATTGGGAAAGTGAGGAGGAGGAAGTCAGTGATAATTTAAAGAGGAAGTAGATTTTAGGATAGCAGCTTTTAAAAATTTTATTTATTTTCTATGTATGTGCCTGAGTGTGTGTATGCATACCATGTCCATGTGGGAACCTCTAGAGGTTAGAAGGAAGGCAGGCATTGGATCCTCTGGAATTGCTGTTACAGGCAGATGTAAGCCATCATCTGGGTGCTGGGAACCAAACCTGGGTCCTCCTAAGAGTAGTGAAAAGCTCTGAACTGCTGAGTCACCTCTTCAGCCCAGCTAGAAACCTGAGTGTGACCAGAAAAGAAAGAAAAGAGGAAATAGAGGAAGTTGGATATAGGGTGAAAAGCCTAAAGGAAGAGTAGTTTTTTGCTGCTTTTCAAAGGTCTGAAGATCTGTATCTACTCAAAAGCATCGGAAAGGAATGTGATACTATAAAAAGAGGTCTTGAGTGTGGGGATGAGATACATTCAGCAGGGGCAGAAACCTAGAGTACCAACAGATGAATGAGATAAAGTGACAGGATTTCTTTCCCTGATGAAGGGTCAATGAATATGAAGCATTCAAATCGAATTACTGTGAAATAGACTGAAATCATGATTTTCATTTGAGTGCCATTTTGATTCAGTTGGTTGAAGATCATGGGCTATGGAGCATGGCCTTGCTTGACCCTAGTTCTGCCATTTGCTAACCTTGCTAGGATTTCTTATATACCATGGGAAAGATTGCAATCTGACTGTTGGGAAGATTAAAATGCCTCTTAAGTACCTAATGCAGTCCGAAGTTTATTACTAGTTAACTGCTGTTGATTTCCCAGTTTGAAGTCATTTATTGTTTTGTACTGTTTTCTGGCAGTTTAAAAGTAGGAGTCTAAATATGGGGAAAAGTAGCCACTCCCAAAAACCATCTGTTTGCTATCCATTTGTGTATTCTTTTTTATTTTTATATTCATACTTGATAAAAAAAAAATCTGAGTTTAAAGAAAAATTCAAGTAGGAGCTGAAGAGATGGCTCAGTGATTAAGAGAGCATGCTGCTCTTACAGAGGACCAGGGTTCTGAGCATCTATGTTAATTGGCTGTCTGTAACTCCAGCTCCAGGGGTATGACAGTCCCTTTTTACTTACACATGTGTGATACATACACATAAGTAATAAAAAGAGAATCTTTAAAGAAAAGTTACTGTAGCCGGCTTTTATATATACAGTGCTCATCATAGATAATAATATGACAGTTTTGGAGCTTATTGTAGAATCACTAATGACTGTTTTCTTCTGGCTGCACATTGGTTTCTCTTGTCAAAAGGATAATCCCTCTCTATATTTTTAATTAGTTCAGCTACTTATTGGTCAACACAAAGTAATAATAGTGATATACTTTATTGCCTCAAATATTTACATACATTTATATATCTATATCCCATTACTTTTACTTCATTTATGTCATGAACAATTTTTTATGTCAAGTATTTTTTGAAAAGGAAGGGTTTACCATTATATAGCATGTGTTCTAAAATGTGTTGGTTTTTGCTGATTCCAGACATTCAGATTTCACTCTTTCCTATTAAAAATGCCTCATTGAATACTCTTATACAAAAATCTGCTTACCTCTTGATTTTTATTTTTGGGATACATTGCACTCTGCTGTGTGTGTGTGTGTGTGTGTGTGTGTGTGTGTGTACCTGTTCATTCTATGGGCTATGATCATGTGAGTTCCCTAAACATGTTTGGCACTGTTCTAAGCATTAAGGTAAAAATGAACCTAAAGCCTGCGTGGCCTAGTATGTCTGAGTACACAGCCCCTGAATTGACTGCTGCTGCTCTCACAGTTTTAATTTTTCAGATTAGTAAAAGTCTCCATTTGCTAGAGTATAGCCTTAGTTCATAGTATAATCACATGAGTTTTGTTGTCTTCACAGGTTATGCCAAGGACTTGAGTGGATGATGTCACGGCTGAAAATCAGATGATCTCTACTGACCTCTTCCCATGAACTCTATCAACAAAGTGCTGACTTTACCTGAAAGCTGCAAAAAAAAAAAAATGGTTCACATATATTTATAATAAACTGATTTGAGAGTTTTTCTATTAGAAGAAAAGTTAAGACCACTTATTTGAAAACAAAGATGAAATGTCACCACCCAGTTTGCTCTCTCATTCCTTCCAAAGTGCGTTGAAGCTGTGACTGACATTTTCCCATGATGAGTCCTCTCAGGATATGGTATAGCTGTGGCGAGTATGAAGGAAGAGGAAGACATTTGAACTGGAGAGCTTTATTGTCAATGTGACTTTCCTACCCCACCCCAGGTTGAATGTCCCCTTCCCATTACATTGAGTCAAATACAAATCAGCACAGATACTGTTTCCAGTTTTTAAAAATGTAATATTATGGAAAGTATTTTGCTTAAAGTTGAATATGTATTGTGTATATACCTCAAGTTCAGGTTAATGGCTTTGATTTGTGTTCTAAAGAAAAGCAAATAACACAAATAATAACCTTAGTTATTACCCTAGTGTCATTCAGTACCAACATTGGTGTTAAGTGTCATTTCTGTGGTTCACCCTCTGTTCTCTGTGTTGTCCTAACAAGCCAACCCTGATCCAGAATTGTTGAGATGCTCCTTAAAAACAAAGCTGGAAGAAGCTTGACACTGTATACCAATTTTTGTTGCTCAGTAAGAGATGGTAACAGCAAGTGAGTCGAGTGTCCACTAGACCCCTGGCCAGGCGTAACTGGGCAGAATTACATGGTAAGCAATTATTAGACTTCCCCCTCTGTTGATCTTTATGCTAACTCAACTACTAATCAGTCATAAATTGTGATTAAATCTACAAGGTAATTTTTAATTGAAAATCATGGTAATTTTTAATTGAAAATCATGGTGTGAAATATATCTACCCAAAGAGGTAACACTCTATAAATAATAGTAATTAATTTAGCTGCAGCCTTTTTCGGCATTAAATTATATGACAAACAACTGAAATGAATTTGGGGGTAAACATAGGCACAGTTCTTAATTAACACTGATAATTTCTCAATTTGCAGATTTGTTTCTGTAGAAATGTTCTTTCACTGCATAAAATGCCTTGTTTAATAGTTAGGAAATCCAAATACTCTGAATGTTTTCAAGAATTTGTTAGAAAATTTAACATGTCCCATTATTTGTACCAAAAGAAATTTGACCCCAAACACTTTTATATTTGTTAATTTTTTAAAATTTATCTAAAAGTTGAAGGTATTTCTGTCATAACTATAAACAAAATTATCATTTGTTTTAACATATTCTTAGTGACTCTGTATGCTTTTTGTGCCCTGGAAATTTGAAAGTTAGTCAAAATTGTGAAGATTTGGAATATTAAAAAAACAAAAAGATGTGGTAAGAGGTAGGAGTCCACATTACAAGCATTGATGAAACTTTGAAAAATCTTTCAGTAAATGTGCAGTACTTAATGTCTAAAGCCATCAGGTACAGATGAGTGTTAACAGGATGTTTTGTGTTTGAGATCTGCTGTAAGGCTCCTAGGACACTCTCAGCATTTAATGTTTCCTCTTAGAAAATCAGCCCTCAATCACTGGTCATACATAGTTCTCATACTTTTTCAAATCACAATGAGAATTTCCCTATTGTATATTTAAAAATCCCTTTAAAGACTCAAATCTACTTTCTAGTTTTGTTAGAGACAAATAGCCTGTAATGCAGCCCCACCCACCCCTTCTGCACCTAGACCTACAGCTTTTTGGCTTTGTGGTTTTTAATTTGAATAATCATATGCATAGTTGCTTGGATCACTGTTGCATCAGTTAAACATACCAGCACATTCTGGTGTTGCCAAGGTATTAGTTAGAATTTATTCTTAATTGGATATTTAAAGCATTTGCTCTATTGTTAAAGTTGGCATAGTATAGTCAGTTACTGACTGTCATAAGAAAGCATGAAACTTTACCACTTTTACAAACTATGAAGTTTTTGGTTTTTTAACCCCTTTAAGCTAAGCATCAAAAAATGATATGATCCCTGTGTACTTGTACATAAAACCAAAATTATGACCTAGTAAAAAGATTTAATATATGAAAATATCAAAACTGTCAAACAGTATTAGGCCTAGATATGGCAGAGCACCCCTTGACATCATGCTGGCAGTTTACATGCCATGGGACAGAACTCAGCCCCATCAGGGTTCAGATGTTAATGTATGACCTCTGGGTATAAAGAAACATCTCATTTAACCTCACTGTGCTCAGCTTTGAAAAGAACAAAGATTTATACCTCTGTACATGTGTCCTGTTTTGATACTAATTTTGAAATTGTTTAACTTCTCTTGATATCTTGGTAAAAGTGGCCATAAGATAAATCATTTGAATATATTTGATTTTGTCATAACATTTATAAAATGTATGTTTCCCATTATATTGAGATTTTTAGTTGAAAAATTCAGTTTCCCTTATATTTCTAGCACACCTTGGCCATCATAGTAGACAAAGAATACAGAGAAGGCAAGTGGGCTGGGCAGTGGGGAATGAGTATTCCTTTTCTTATGATATTTTGCCTTAAGAATAAAAAGGTGCATTAGCACTGCTGGTTGGTATTTTGAATGCAGGTGGTGAACCTAGTCTTACATAGTGTGGCATGACATAGAAAGAATAAGAGTTTGTTTCCTGGCCTCGAAGAGAGAAGTGCCTCGAAGGTAGTCACAGGAAGTTCGGGGACAGGCAAGAGGTCCCTAAGGTGTCTTTTCCTTTTGTCTGAGTGTATAGTATTAGGATGCCCAGAAGAGGGACAATGTTGGTCCTCTCTTACAGGCACTTTATATTTCTTGCTGTAACTACAGCAATCACATACAGTACAGACAACCTCAAAAATCTGTTTATATTAGTGTAAATAGAAAAATCATAGACAGCTGTCTAGTTTCCTCTGCAGGCATTTTTGGGAATGCATCTATAGTCTGTTCTACTTTGTCAATAGTGGATAACAGCTCATCCTAGATCATATGTGAACTTTGGGATTTTCTAATTGCCCTTGGTATCCTGGTACCATTCTCATTTTCAAGGCAAAGTAGAGGGTTTCTTTACATAACAGATTTGACCGCTTTCATTCTCCAAACACAATGTAGAATTTCTTGTTCAGGGGCAACTTCATGGCTCAGCTTGCCCTTGCTGTCCTGGATGTTTGCTCACCTCCAACGAAGGTTGCTCTTTTTCATCTAAAGCTATTCTAAGCTTTGCCCCTAACCATTATTCCCAGACCACTAGGTTTTCAGTAATCACTTTGATTCTGTCTGTCCACCCACCAGTACTTGATTCACTGCTCTGGACCTCTGCATCATCAGAGATTCTGAGTCTATCAGGAGACTAGATTCAGATTGTGGTTTATAGCTACCAATAGAAAAATCCTGTTATATACTGTACTTAGCACCTTAATTCTTCTTAATATTAACTTCTTACACTGACAGCTAGATTCAGCAAGACAAAAAATACATAGACTATTTCAGGTCCTTGAGCTACACAAGTTAGGACCAAAGGCCATTGTTATGTTCACATTCTCCTCATATAAACAAGAATGGTGATGTTCTGGAGAATACCAGTTCAGCCAGTGGAAGATGGAAAAGGATAACAAAACAAAACTATATAGCGTTGAACTTGAAGACAGCCTAAAATGATTTCCCACATTCCATTTTTCTTCATGTTTGCTTAAGTAGAAAAGATGAGTATTAAATGTTTAAAGGAATTTGTAATTTGAGACCTAGTATTACAAAATAAACTTACTGAAACAAGCTTTAAAAGACAGCAAAATAAGCAATATGTGGTGGTGTGAGTGTAATTCCAGCATTAAGGAATGAGAGACAGGAGAGTTGCTGGGAGTACAAGGTCAACCTGGTCTAAATAGTATCAGTCACCAAGACTGCATAGCAAAAGACTATCAAAAAGAAAGGAAGGAAGAAAAACAGCCAGCAATCAACCAACCATCGTGTGTTTCTGTATACTTCAGGATGCTACTTAAAATAAAACTTATGTGCCATGTTCCTCAAAGCAGGTGCAGTTGATTAAGACCATGATAGTGGAGTAAGGGAAAGAGCAGGATTTAGCACTCTGGATGCTTAAGAAGTGAGTGCTTGTATTTAACCCTAAAATTGTTTGAAATTGGGAAGAAATGTAACAGGATACAATTGGGCTAATTATGCAATATTTATCTTTTGAATTCTCTAACTCTGTACTGTTCCTAAATGGAAGAGTGAGTCTTTTGGTGTTGCCTGCTCGATGTGCGGATCTTTGGTAGTAGACATTTCTCATAGTGTGTACTTAAGAAGTGCCTGACATTGATTTGTGTTGATTTCTAAGTCCATGTAATAAACGATACTTGTTTTCTATGGTATCGTATGTTGTTTTGTTTCAAGACAGGATCTCACTGTGTAGATGTGGCTGTTCTGAAACTCACTGCATAGGCCAGGCTGGTCTCCAACCACATTGGATCTGCCTGCCTCTGCCTCCTGAGTGCTGGAACTAAAGGTGGATGCCACCACTCCTGGCTGGTATTGTATATTCTTGTCTTGTTGATGACACATGCCACAGGGGTTCTAAGTTACAATTTATGTTTTAATTCCAATGAAAACACAAAGTGGAAAATATCAAACTGTAAGGAAACATGAATAAAACTAGTTTGCCCCCCACCCTCCAAAGGATTTGTAACAGATTTATGCAAGGGTAAGAGATAAAGGTTTTTAGGAAAAGGACAGTGAACTCCCAAGTATGGGTGTGAGCTTATCAAGAGATAGGGTGGCAGGTACTTGGAGTTTTAACAAAGCTGTATGAGATGTGGTGGCTTCTGAAGTTTCAGTGTTGAGAGCATTCCTGGTTTAGAAAGTGAGATCATGGGGTGTTCTGAGGTGCAGGGCTAGGATTTGGGACTAAGAGGCAATGGTTACAGGATTCCCTGCTGGGCTGTGTAATAGGAAAGCACATCTGTTACCTTGTTTGTAAGTCTCAGAAGTTACAGCTGGGAAAGCAGTAAAGGTGAACTGTATGTTTTCTCTTAGGCCTCACACCTGTTTCCTTGCTGTTTCACATTCTTTTCTGGAAAGTCTTGACGGTTCAGCCCCACTTATTTCCCCTTCCTGTGTCTCCAGATTTTCCCTTTCTGTTTTGTTTCCATTGCCTACCCTGAGACGTGAGCCCCTGAATCTTAAGAACTGTGGCTGAGGATCGGTTTTCTGAAGCTTTCCGTGATGAATAGACTTCTATCCAAGAATTGTATGGTGGATCCAAAACACCCCACACAGCCACAGTGATCAGAGGAGGTGTCAGAAAAAACTGGATAAAGGCAGCCTCTTCAATGAACAATGCTAGGAAGCCTGGATATCCACCAATAAAATGACGGCAACACAAGACCAACTGGCATGCCACGATCTACTGTAGCCTTTTGGCTTTTGGACAAAGCTTTTATTATCTTACTGGTTTTTGTGGTTCTGGAATTGGACCTAGAGCCTCACACTTGGAAGGCAAGTCTTCTACCATCTCTCTACACCTCCAGCCAAAGTTTATTTCTTAATTCATTCATAGTGTATCAAACCGGCATTGTATGTTACCTTTGAGAGGCTGAAGAAGAAATCTTAAAAAAAAAAAAAAAAAAAGTAGACTGTCCCTCTAATGTTTGAGGAGAATAAAACCTGATGCCTTTTATCTTCTAACACAATTCTGACATAATGACGAAATTGTAAGCCTCTAGCTGTCACGTGGTTTACAGATGTTGGTCCTAATTGGTCCTTTGATTTTCTAGTGGAGTTTGGTGGTTTTATTGAAAATTTCCATTAGTTTCAGTACTATAAATTGTACACGATCTCAAGTGAGACTGCAATTCCTATTTTAACATCAAGTCTTCTGAGAACACTGTATTTGTTAAATAAGCTCCTAAGCTCAGGGTGACATCTTTATTTGGTTCTTTTAAAGCCCAGCCCAGTCTTGGGAAAAAAAAAAAAAATGATACCTCCTTTTGTCTTAGATTTCTTTGGTTACTCTTTGAGTTGGAACATCATAGATTTGGGGTCCTTTTATGAATTTTATAAACTTGTACATCTTTTGCACTTTTGTTATTGGCTGTGTGAAATTTCTGTTAAAGAATATTTTTGTTACTTGGCATTGCCGTTTGACCATTTATACTAAAGGTGTCCTTAAAATTCATCTCACAATGGGATTTTAGTTGCATGTGTTAGTCTTCCTATGGTTTTGTGCCTCTGCTTGAAACTGTTGTGATAAGGTAGTTTAGTGATGATGTAGTTCATGGCTACAGGTTATTTTCTGTGTACCTTGAGTAGTTCCAGACTTTCTGTTGCTTTCCTCCCCAGTAAGCTGTTGGTGTGAGCGGCTCAACAGAGGAAATGGAGGCGTTTTGTTTAATCTTATGTCCTACATTTTCCTCACATGATTAAGGCTTTGCCACATTTTCAAGACCCTACTTAGGCTGCACATGCACCAGAGTTCAAAGTAAAAATTATACGTGGTGGAGAGCCTATGTGAATTCTTTCAACAGATCCATCCATCGTCCATCCTTCAATACCCAGGGTATGAATGGATTAGTTAAATGATGTGATGAAGTGTGATGGTGTAGGGGAAATGAGTATGGTGAGTGTGATGTGGAAATAAGGCTATGTAACCCGAGTCAAGATGGTCTCAGTTGTACATGGAAGTACAGAGAAGACTCCGGAGGTAACAGATTTATCTTAGGCAACAGCATTGTGCTTGGTGTTTTTCTGGGGCTGCTTTTGAACTTCCTAGCTTCCCTATTGAACACAATACGTGGGGATTTGAAAGTAGCATTGGCTCATGTTTATTGCTTTAAAGAATCTGGGGAGGGCTCAGTTGATACAATGCTTGCCTAGCATGCATGAGGCTCTGCATTTGATTGGATATAGTAAGTTTGAGGCCAGCCTGGGCTGTATGAAACCCTGTCCATAAAGGTGGGCATGGCAGTACATCCCTTTAATCCTAGAACTTGGGAAGTAGAAATCCAAGGTTATTCCTAGCTGCATAATGAGTCAAAATGAGCCTGGGCTACATGAGACCCTATCTGAAAAACAGCTTTAAAAATGAAGCTATCAAGCCCTCTGAATGTGGGTGCCAGCTAGGAGTCCAAGACAGTCTATGGGACCTCTAACCGTGGAGCCAGTCTTTATTCCTAGAGCACAAATGAACTTTAGGAGCCCATTCCCTATGGAGGGGTACTGTTGCAGCCCAGATACAGCAAGGAGGGCCTAATAATTTGATGGACTCCTCACTATCCCTGGGGAGGAGTTAGGGAATAGGTTGGGGGGTTGGTGGAGAACATGGAAGGATGGGAGGGCGAGGGAATAGGGGGGTGGATATGTAAATAAGAGTAGTAATTAAAAAAATAAATGAAGCTATATTAACAGGAATGGATAAGAATATAGAAATGTTTTAATTTCAATTTGTAAGTAAATGAGATGTGTAGAGGCCTCAGTGACTAGTAGACATTAATTTGCTGGCACAGAACCATCTGCACCCTGCAGGGGAAACTTGAAATTGGAGACATTTTGACAAAATCTTGTCAGTTACTACATATATAAAGAGACTGCCTGTTGCACTTACTGCCTTATTTGATTGCTTTTGAAGGATTCTTGAGACCACTGCCTCCATCCTGAAGGTTATTTAAAAATAAAAAATTTAAAAACAAGCAAAATGCAGTTGGGGTGGGGTATATTATTTGAAGCAGCCCAGCAGGGGCAGATGGTTTTTACTCACAGCTCTAACCGTGTGTGCCTAGCCTCAAGCAAATTTCCAAAGCTGGAAGGCTTCAGCTTTGTTGCTATCTAAACCTTTTCAGCAATGCAATCTTTTTCCATAACTCATATTTTATGAAAGCCTATGGAAAGAAAGCAGGTAAGATTGACATTTTAGTCATATGCATATTTAATAATTTGACATTTATGTTGTGAAAATGGCATTTTAATGAACATAAGAATTGTTAATTGGGTGTGTGGAACATACATGCCAAGCTCTGAGTTTGGGTTGACATAAGGGAGGGTTGGGGATGGGTTCTCTAGGGGTGTGGAGTATTGCCCTCAAGTACCTGATTACAGGGAATGCTTTTTCCATGTCACTCCCCAAACAATATAGGATAATAATCATTTATTTAGCTTTTTCCTGTGTTAGGTATTGTACATATCTATTACTGGAGCCTGAAGAGGTGGCTTAGTGGTTAAGAGCACTCTCTGCTCTTCTAGAGGACCTGGTTCCATTCCCAGCACCTACATGGTGGCTAACAACCATCTGTAACTCCAGTTCCAGGGGGACCTGATGCCTCTGGCCTCTGTGGACACCAGCCGTGCACCTAGTGCACAGACACACATGCAAACAAAACGCCCACACACATACAAATAAATAATTTTTAAAAAGAAGATGCAAATGATACAAAGTTTTTGTGCAGTTGGGCATAAATTTTAGGTAAATTCCATGCCGGTTTTATATAAGAGATCTATATAAGTGATCCGGGGAGGTCCTGAACCAGTTCTCTGCACTGGGATTAGGGTTGGGGACTAGACACAACAATGATTTGTTAATTAAAAATATTAAGTGTTGAAAATCCACTGATTAAAAAGTTATTTTAAAAACATGACTCCTCTTTATACACTGTCCAGTTGCTGTGATAATATGCTCTTACAAAGGTGGGGCTAATTTTGGTTCCCAGTTCAGTTCAGGGACTGTAGGTGATTGCAGGGAAGTTCCTGCAGCAGGTACTTGAGATGGCTGGTCACAGTGATGCTTGTATTCCTCCAGCTTTCTTCTTTTTATGTAGTGCAAAACTCAAGAGCTGTCCACTTTGAATGTGGGCCTTCCTGCTCCAATTAACCAGCACAAGTGCTCATATGTATACCTAGAGACTAAATAATCTGTCATAGCTGTGCAGAAGAGCCTGCCTCCTAGGTGACTCTGGTGCGGTAGCAAAACTACAGTTATGATGTAGCAATGAAAATTGGTTGGGGGGGTCACCACACCAATGAGGAACTGTATTAAAGGGTCACAACATTAGGAAGATTAAGAACCACTGGTCTACAGTCTGTCAAGTTGACGATAAGAACTAACATGTATGCTAACCTAAAAAAAATTAGTTTAAGAGTTACCCCAGGACAGGTCCAGGGAGATTCAGCATTGTGCTAAACAGTGACAGTCTCTGACCAGGCAGGTGACACATTTGCCAGTGATGGTTGTGGAAAGACAGCATTGCCAATTTGGTAGTTCTGTCGCCCTAAAATGAGATACCAGAAGACAAAATTGACTAGCTTTTATGAAGACTGAAGCTTTTCTTGCTGACCAACCATCATAAAGGCTGGCTAACTTATGGATGACTTATACCAAAGATAA